CTGTAACTACAAACAAGCCATAAAATGGAAACGATAAACTTAAGCACACAGTAAAACTGCACAGAGGACGAAGTGCACAATTCTCTGCAGGTTCATTGACATATGAGTCATGTCATACATTGTTAATGCAATATTAATTATAGCCACTTTAAGAGCGCATATATAGGTTTTTTGTTGACATTTATAACTATATATATAGTTAATAGAGGAAACCATTAATTTCTTTTTCCACAGACATCAGATTTACCAAACTTACTGATATAAATCCAGTGATAACTGACTTTATAGGTCTAACTCTCCCTTCTGTAGAGTACAGCGTAACGTCGTACTGTAGGACAGCTCAGTGCTGCAGACCACAAAGCTCTACAAGGGCTACGACGGCCACATTTTGTCTTTGAAAAAAGAATCCTGTTCTTTTCACCTTAAAGCCTTTTCTTTTTTATCATCACCGTCCAGATTGGACATCTGGAAATCCACCATGCATTAAACCACAGGAGGCCACCGGGGCTCAGAGTGATTATGCACATGTGGGCTGAACATACAGCAGCATGTGCACAGCCCTCCGGGGTGCAATGAAGTATTTACTGAGGTGTAATGGGTGTAATGGGTGCAATAGGTGCGCGGTTTGTTCAACATGTAGCTAGAAACAGAGCTGTATATTTGTTTGACAAAAAGCCTCTCTTAAGGGGAAAAAGCCGCTTCTATTATTAAGCTCAACACACTGCCAAGAACGTGTCAACAAATTATTGTTTATACAGCAAGAGTGTCAGAACCACGACACTGAACCAGAAAGATCAGGACTGAAGCTAATGCATTAATGAGAACACGCAAGCAAGTAGGGGCAGTAAGCTTGAGTTAAAACCTCTGAGTTGAAGACCTTTATCTTCTGTATTTTATCGGTCACATTAAAATGCCACGCATCCCACTCTTTTGACATACAGTACATGGACTTTGTGCTTTTGAGAGACTTGAGGTCTACTCTATGTCTATGTGCACCAGAGGCTTATGTTGCTCAGCTGACCCTGTCCTGTTGGCTTTTACGGAGCTGTATAAACGCCAGCAGCAGACAGGCATATCTCCAGATGTCCAGGGAGCGATGAGGGTGGCGAGGTGGGACGTCAAAGGGAGAAGGCATCTTAAGACTTAGACATGTGATGCACAGCGGTCTAAATCAGAGAATATGGGTACATGTGCACGCTCGAAGACAGAGCCAACCCCTTGAGAACGATCCAAAGTAGATTCCACATCGCCCAGCTCCACACGCTACAGTAGTGCACCCTAACAAACAGCTCCTGCATGATTCCCAGAGCTCATGGTCTTGGAAATAATTAGACAGAAGAATGAGAGAGCAGAGAGGTGGTAAACTGCTCCAGGCTAACCTGAAGGGAGACTTTGTATAGCATCTGCTTTTGGAAGCTATGTGCTTAGGAAGAGATGAGAGATGAACAAACAAAGCTTCTTCAGGCATATTCCTTAAAGTCTAAGTGAAGCAGAGCAGGCGACTGATGTTGCTGAGAAGCTGATGCTGGTGGAAAAGTGGATCATGGATTGATGCATCTGATAAAGGGAAGTAGAAACATTAGTGGAAAAATAAAGTAGGAGTTGGACTAATGCAGCAGTTGCCCTCTATTCTTTGGCTGCTTTTCAATCCCTTTCCAGTCCTTGCTTTATCCAATCTCAGCAAACTCTGACTGCAATTTTAAGTTCACAAAGATACTTCCGTTACCCTCGGATTAATGAAAACTCACTGAATTCTTTGAAAGATCGAACGGGGACAAGAATTTTGTTATTTTGAGACCAGAAAAGAGAGAAAAAAAGTTATAAAGCTGTAACCTTTTCATCTGTCAGTAAGCAGTTATTTTTTGACTTAACTGGCACACAGTCTCTTTTACAGTATGCAATGTGCTCTATTGGGCTTCACTATTTTCAGCTTTCAATTTTAGTTTGATAGTGATATTTGTATTACAATCAGAAAGTAGGGAAATTCAGATTTCTTCTTCAAATCACTTTGTAAAGAGCTTATGTAAAATCTTAAAATCAGATAATAGCAGTGCTTGCAATCTACTATGCACGTACACAACATGCAAAATACAAGACTTTTCACAAGGTTTCAATTATCTACTTTAATCCAAAACTCGTAAATCTCATAAAAACTGGCTTTTATTTGGCTAGTAGTCTCTTAGTGCGCTCTTTCATATGGAGACCGTGACTTTGAAAGGGTTTGTCGGTGCACAATGATCTCAATTTTATTGGCATTGATTTAACTCAGCTTACATGTGAAGTACAAAACAGCCTTTGGTGATAAGCTTTGGCTTATTATCTATGACAAGAATCATTTCAGAAAACTGAGGAGGAGCAGAGCTCGCTGTGCTGCAGGGGGTTGGTGGAGCTGATGGTTTGTTTGGACAGACTTCAGCACTTATTAATTTTCATCTTTGGACTCATTTAAAGTGGACCTATTATGTTAATTTCCAATTGCATATTTTTATTCTTGTACTGCACAAGATTTAGAGTAGCTTTGCATGATTGGAAGTTAAAAACCAAAACATATTTATCTTACACCGAGCCCATTAGTTCATACTATATTTGAACCAATAATTTTTATATTCTCTCCATTTAACTTTCTACTGACTGACCCTCACTACTGGAAATTTTCAACAGCACGTGTATGGGACTGTTTATTCACAGTCAGAGCATCAGCCTGAGATGACCATATTCAAGATTTCATCTCTTTTTCCACAGTATTCAGAGCCAAGAGTAGAAAATCAATAGTTGGAAACTGAGCTCTTGGAGCAGTCTGAAGCCTGAGGTTTTGATTAACAGGGATTACCTGCACATATCCATACATTATTATTTGAAACCTCTGGCCATATATATTATGATTAGCATAATTTGCTTGCATGGACAAGGGACATTTCCCCATCTCTGGTCATACCAGCCTATCACATGGTAAAATAGCAAAGAAAATCTAATAATGTTCATTTTTCCTGGACACAAATTCGCACATTTATGTCACAGTAAGCACAACATTGAAAATTAGTGGTAAGTATATTAGCGAGGATATTTTATGCCTGGAGGACACAGAGGGGGACATACCATCCTGGCAACCAAGATAACTGAGCTCTGAAAAAAAGTATCAGCTATTGAATGATCTTTTTTCTAAATCCAACTGAGATGATGATTATTAATAATAATAATAATAATAATAATAATAATAATAATAATAATTTAAAAGAAATGCAGTGAAATAATTTTGGTCCCAACGCACCAACAGGGTATCTGTGTGCAAAAACTACAGTTAGTTAAATACAGTGAAAAGGATTGAAAGAAGCATGTTATGATATTTTATAGGATCCTTGGAAAAGGGGAAACCAGACTTGTTTCCTCGGTTTTCCAAGTAGAAAGATACCTAGCTGCCTGGTTAATTATTCATTTATTTGTCTGCCAGCATACTGTGTTACTGCATTTTGAGAATATTTTACAGTAAATATTGAAGTTAAATGGCGCGTACACATTCAGTATTAAACACAATCAAAAAAGACATTTAGGATATGCAAAAGTGTGCAAATGACATCACTGTGATTGACATAGATTGCATATTGACAAGGAATGTTGGATAAATGTGTAGCACCATTCCACGGCCATACCATTTGCAAATACAAAGTGCCATCTTCCAACTAATTACGAGTTAATATAGCATAAAGTGGCAGAAGGTTAGCGCACATTGTTCACTCTTCCTTTGTTTTTCCACCAGATTAATTAAAGCTCTCTCCACTGTACAGGAGGTTTGAAACTCACTTCAAAGACTCAAAGTTTCCCTCTAGACTGCACTTTATCCGAGGTTCTGTTTGCTTTAATTATGTAACAGGAAGCAAGGATCATCTCCAAAATCAATGGTTCCTCACTAGCTGGAGGTTAAGACCGGAGGTGAAAGCAATTAACTTCTAGATGTTATGATCATGTTATGCTGACATGCTGATTATAGAGCCACCTAAAGGCAATGCATCACCAAAGACTTTAGGATTTCCTCACTGAAATTCAAAGTGATCACACCCATCTATCACGTCTTTTCTCAACTCATCAAATGCAATTATGGAGTCTTCCATCTTGTGTTGTCTCTCTTACTCTTGATCTGTACAAGGTGAGGAGTTTGGCTTAATGAGAGCAACTTTCTTTCTCATGATGGGCTTGTTGGGCTGTAATAGCCTCTCTGTGGTATCTTCTTGCCCAGTGAAATATTATGAGAGTAAATTGAGGGCTGTGAAAAAAAACGTGGTAACTCATTTTTCTCATACCACTAAAATCCAGACGACAATAATAACCCCTAAGCAACAACACCAGTTACACCAGTTTAGTTCAACTTCACCAAACCATCATGACCAACCTAACTTACATGCAGTGACTTCCAGTAAAAAACCCTTCAGATTTTACTCCAGTATGCTGCACAACATGTAGTCACATTCTCCAAACATAGTGCACTGTTGAATGCAGAGCAGTCTACCCAGCGCTTTTTCTCAAAGCGCTCAGAATATGCAACACATGAACAGAGAGGCACAACAGCTACAGAAGAGCCCTCACAACAATCATTACTTTCACAAGTGCAGCAAAGCAACTACACACACTTATCTCAGCGCCACTAATGAAACCAGGCATGCACTTCTTCGCTTCCTTGCCTTACCGTTTATATGCCATTTGCCTCATTTTCAGCAGATAAAATCACTACATTCATGTGCCTGTGCATCCCCTCAGAGCTGCATGCATTTAGAAAAAGACTCCCCTAATTCTGACTGGAGACAGGGCTGGTAGGCAGAGAGAGAGAGAGGGGAGAGAGAGAAAATGAGAGAGGGAGCCGAGAACTGAATGGAGCAGGAGGAGGTGTTCTGGAAGAGGAGGGATTAGGGGAGTGATGGAGAGAAGAGGGAAGAGAGAGAGAGAGAGGAGAGGTGTGGCTGAAGGTGTAACTGCTGGGAGGAGAGGAAGTAAAAGTGAAAGTAGCCAACCTTGTGTTATGCCGCGTCTCGCCATCAGATTCCTGGTAGGAAGAGAAGAGAAGCGGGTGAAATGATTAGATATATTTATCAAGCAGATTTATCTGGCGCCGCCGCTGCCACTGCACGCCGTGGAATACCTCTTATCTGGTGTTTAACGAGCTCTCAGAGTGGCTGTGTCTCGGCAAACAAATATATCCATTATTTCCTCACTCACAAAACACACACTGTATCAGTTCTGAGAACATTAAGTGAAAGGAGGAGGGAGACAGAGCAAGAAATGACAGATTAACAGTGCAAAAGAAAAATGCTGTGTGCTGCAGAAAGGGAGAGAAAGTGCCCAAGGGTGAGAGGCAGACTTGCAGACTGTAGTTGTTACGAGGAAAGTACAAAAAAGTAAAATGGTAAACAAAACTAAAAATGTTGCAAATTAAGTCTAAAAGAATGAAGCACTCTTCTTAGATTTCTTTCTTGATACCACTCTCTTGTTTTGAAGAATGAAGATATTGCTACCTTAGGGAACACAAAAATCTGCCTAACATGAAGCTCACTGCTGAGTGCTTGGTATTTTATATCGATATGCAACAATCTGTGGAAAAAAAGGACCACACTTTGCAAAAGTTATGTTGAAGTTAGTCGCTTCAGGTTGCTAACGCTGTTTAGTGTTTATAACATAAGCTAGCTGATGGCTAGCTACATTATACTCAGTACTTGGAGCATACTCAGTGCTGCTCTGTCATATCTACACATGAATGCAAATAAATAAACTGGTCATAGCTTGCATATAGATCGTAAATAATAAGGAATTCACAAGAATTTACATTGAAGTATTTTAATGCAGTTACAAGTTACATGCATGGCCATAAAAAACTCCAAATTTCACCGTCTTCTTCCTGAACTTTACAGTGGCCACAAAGTCACGCATTGTTTTGGTGCTGTAGTAGGTTGGTATGTTTTCAGGTGTTTGTGTGTTCGCATGTTGCACGCAACTCACGTCAGTCTCATTGGTGAGGATTTAGCAAGGTATATTAAATGTCACAGTTGCACAGCTTCAACATACGGACTACAAGATTGCAGTGCGTATTGGTGAGTGTGTGGAAGCCGGGCTTCACGCAGTTGCGTGGGTGTTACAAACAGTGCGAATGATACAGCAGGATGACTCATACAGCTACTGAATGAGACAACGCTCAGTAATCCCCCTCCCCACCTCCACGTCCATCCTTCCATCCCAGCATCCCTCTGTGTGGAGAGGGCAAGCCTAGAGAGAGGGGGAGGAGGATAGAATTGGCATTCCTGCAAGGAATCACTGAATGATAATCAGCTCACATGGATTTACTTTCATTCAGTGAAAAAGGTAAAATATTAACCTTTAACTCGCTTTTGCTAAATGATGATAGAATGGAGACAATAAGCAGACATTTATTAAAAAATACTGACTTGACAAACACTATTTGTCATTTATTTTGTACATAGCTTGGGCAGATAAATATCCATTTTCTTCTGATTTCCAATTCATCGTCATGGGGGGTCTGGAGCTTATCCCAGTTGTCATAGTGTGAGAGACAGGTACACACTGGACATGCCGCCAGGGCTCACACACAGAGGCAAACAAGCATTCACTCTTACATTTACACCTATGGGCAATTTAGAATTACCAGTTAACCTAACCCAACTCCATGCATGTCTTTGGACTGTAGGAGGATGTCTGAGTATCCAGACACAGGGGGAATATGCAGACTCCACACAGAAGGCCCCCTGGATTTGAAGCCATCTTGCATTTCACATTACCATTTGATAAAACTTTTATCATAAAAGATATTAATTAGTATTTTTAAAAATGTTGTAATCATTAGCATTTCTTCTTAGAATGATTTCTGATACCATTGTGGATATTTTTCAGCATTATTTTCATTACATTTTTTTTTTAATCACTGCTCCTACAGCATTTAACAGTAAATCTGCTATTCTCATCCCAATATAAAGGTCATTCACAGGAAGCCATGCTTGCATTTACTAGGTGATGATTTTATCGAAACACACACATTAGCCCACATACTTGCTTTAATTACTGCTGCATTTCACAGGTATACTCTTGTATTGTTAGGATGCGTTCCGCTGCTGACTGATAATTTATAACTTCACTATGTCTCAATTACAAGTTCTCAGTTTATCTCAGCTCATCACATATTTTGTAATAGATGTATTTCAGCCTTGCCCTCCAGACTGCAGAGGACACTTCTCCTTCTTTTTCTCCTACCTTGAAAGAAGCGCCCACCTCATCTCTGCACTTGCAAGCCACTAACTGTGAAAAGCTGCCATACAGCAGTTTTCTCTCTTTTTGCCAAATGTATTCCTTTTAATACATACACCCACTCATCGGCTGAACAGTTGCTAGGGAGCTGACATCCAGTGAATAAGTTCTAGTCAGGAAGCAACATCCCAAACATTTATCTTCCTCCTTACTGTTGGACGTTGGTCAAAGTTCACCCATTTAGCAGCAGGGCATTAGTACAACAGTGCATCAGGTTGTGAGAGGCCATATTACTGGATGGCATTACTATGCCTGAGGCTCAAAAGCACAACAAAAACAGAAGGAGGGAAAGTGTTTAAATATTTTATGTATCAGCTACCTTCACACTGGCACACAAGCAGGATAGTGAAATTTGTTTTAGATTCAAGCAGTCTTTCTCTATTTTAGTAAAAAAGCAGCAAATAAGGCAGATGTATTTCTTAATATGATATTCCAAAGGGACCAGTAGTTCCCATTGCTAGCCCTCTGTTGAATGTTTGGAGGGCAGGAAGATGCTAATGCATTTAAATAAAAAGTAATACAGACACAGCACAGCACTCTGAGAACACCCCGGCCACTGAAAATGCTCATCTAGTAGGTTGCGCTGTGATTTTGACTCTATATTTGAAAGTAGCATGAGCAAGAATACAGTTGGGTCCATTAGTATTTGAACAGTTACACACTTTTGGTAATTTTGCTTTTGTACACCAACTGTATTTCCCACCTAGAATTACTGCAGCCATCTTTAGCGGCTGCTTTTTCGTAGGTCACTGCATTCAATTCGGTCTTCAGTAAGTGAAAAGGATGTTCTGAGATCAGCTGAATGACTTGGCCATTGAAGAATATCGCAATTCTTTACCTTGAGATACTTTTGGGTTGCTTTTGCAGTATGCTTTGGGTTATTATCCATTTGTAGTGCGAAGGTCTGTCTGATCAGTTTTACGGCATTTGGCTAAATCTAAGCAGAGCACAGCCCAACACTTCAGAATTCATCCTGCTACCTCTACCAGCAATCACATCATCAATAAACACTAGTGACCTGGCTCCACTGACCTACATGCCCATGCTATAACATTGCCTTTCGCAGATGATGGTGTATGCTTTGAATCACAAGCTGTTTCTCTTCTTTTCCCTTCTTTTTTCTTCTCATCATTTTAGTGCAGTTTCATCTTGGTTTTATCTGTTCCAAATTATTTTTTTTAGGACTGTTGAGGCCGTATCAGATGTTTTTTCTGCCAAAGTGTAATCTGACCTGCTTGCTCTTGTGTGTAACCAGTGGTTTGCACCTTCCGTTCATGAAGACATCTCTTCATGTAGACTTTAGAGACCAGAAAAAGTAGAAACATCCAAGTAAAACCCATAGTATAGCAAAGAAGGAGGTATACTACATGTTTAGCTTATACCACAACAGATATGCCTATCTGTTTAAAATGTTCTTGACTGGACTTTTTCATCCACTTTAGTTGTTTTCTGTGGTCTTTCTGGCCTTTTGGTGTTGCCAATTGCTGTTTGTTTGATTACACCTGACGTCTTTGCTATCTTTAAATGGTAAATGGTAAATGGCCTGTATTTGTATAGCGCTTTTACTAGTCCCGCCTAGGGACCCCAAAGCGCTTTACACGTCCAGTCATCCACCC